GATGGATGGATGGATGGATGGATGGATGGATGGATGGATGGACGGTCAGACAGATAGTTCAATAATGTTTCAGAAAGAAGCTTTATTAAGTGTACAGAGTTCCCCCATAACTCCTTTTGCATTATTCATTTCTCCCCTGTAATAATGTTCCTATCAATCCACAGACCGATAATTTCGTTTAGGACTCACCGAGAGTAAGTTTGTGCAGCAGACAGCAGCTAACTTCCTGAATTGGCTCACATGCAGGAAACGCTTTCATAATCTCCACTACGATATTGTAACACCGCACATTTCCAGACATGAGAACTTCCGCATTGCTAACTAAAAGCAGCATAAAAACGATCTCGAGTAAGAAAAACATTTATCCCATTTGTGCATGCTGACGTTTTTTTAAATTATCATTGAAATATTTACAAATGATGCTGCCTTTTACCGCAGGCCGATAAAATGAGCATTAATTAAATAAAAGAAGCCATTAGAAATCATTAACAGAATGGTAACAATCACTTAAATATGAGCCAGCCGTGTGCGGCAGCTGCCAAAAAAGCCAATACAGTTCTAGGCTACATTAAGAGAGGGATAGAATCAAGATCATGTAAAGCAGACATGTCAAACTCGCGACGACACGTGACGTCGCGCAACGTATCGGGACGGTTTTGCCATTGCCGGCAATGGGGTGGGCACGGCTTCCGGATGACGTGGCCGGTCCGTGGGCCGGCAGTTTGACACCCCTGATGTAAAGTGTTAATACTACTTTATAATGCCTTGGTAAAACCAAACTTGGAAAACTGCAACCAGTTTTGGTCACCACGAAGTAAAAAAGATGTTGAGACTCTGGAAAGAGTGCAGAAAAGAGCAACAAAGATGATGAGGGGACTGGCGGCTAAAACATATGAAGAACGGTTGCAGGAATTGGGTAGGTCTAGTCTCATGAAAAGAACTACTTAGGGCAGGGATGTCAAAGTTATGCGACGTCACGAGTTTGACATGTCTGACTTACGGGGTGACATGATAGCAGTTTTCTAATATTTCAGGGGCTGCCACAAAGAAGAGGGGGGTCAGCCTATTCTCCAAAGCACCTGAAGGCAGGACAAAAAACTATGGATGGAAACTAATCAAGGAGAGAAGCAACCTGGAATTAAGGAGAAACTTCCTAACAGTGAGAACACTTAACCAGTGGAACAACTTGCCTTCAGAAATCATGGGTGTTCTAACAGTGGTTTTTAAGAACAGACTGGAAGGTCACTTGTATGAAATGGTATAGATTGTCCTGCTTGAGCAGGGGGATGGATTAGAAGACCTCCAAGGTCCCTTCCAGCTCCATTCTATTTCTATTTCTATTTCTATTTCTATTTCTATTTCTATTTCTATTTCATTCTATCCCATATATTCTATTCTATTCTATTCCATTCCATTCCATTCTATTCTATTCTATTCTATTCTATTCTATTCTATTCCATTCCATTCCTTTCCTTTCCATTCTATCCCATATATTCTATTCTATTCTATTCTATTCTATTCTATTCTATTCTATTCTATTCTATTCTATTCTATTCTATTCTATTCCATTCCATCCCATTCCATCCCATTTATTATTCTATTCTATTCTATTCTATTCTATTCTATTCTATTCTATTCTATTCTATTCTATTCTATTCTATTCCATTCCATTCCATTCCATTCCATTCTATCCCATATATTATTCTATTCTATTCTATTCTATTCTATTCTATTCTATTCTATTCTATTCTATTCTATTCCATTCCATTCCATTCCATTCCATTTCTTTCCATTCTATCCCATATAGTCTGTTCTGTTCTGTTCTGTTCTGTTCTGTTCTGTTCTGTTCTGTTCTATTCTATTCTCTGGGTGTCGATTGCTGGAAAGGAGAGTTCTAAGTGAATTAGTACATAGATGCTTTTTATTTCACTACTAACCACTGTAAATCAGACCATAGTTTCACATGAAATGGGAACCTAACCTATACAGAGCATATGTGCACACATAAATAAACTAAATCCACACACACGAACACACAATTGTTTTGTTAGTGGCACTCTTGCAAATCATTTGGGAATTGCAAACACATTTCATAGTTTGTAGTACATTAAAGGAATCTCTTTAATAAATGCATCGGTGGCCAAGTTATAATGCCAGCACAAGGGTGATTACTGACCAATGTATTTATTTGATACATTATCATTATACATTATCATTATTTGATTATGATAACATAATCTTACTTACGTGGTCCAGCCAACAGGTACAAGGACCGAAGTGCAAAACAGATGACATTGTCCTTCTCTGGGAACTGTTTAAACACTTTTAGTATAATCATGTGATCGTTTGCTTCCACAAATTCAATCAGCTGCTCCTCGGGAACTGAATTACAAGATATCGGCATAAAGGAAGTCAAGACTTGGCTTTGATAATGTCATTAACAAATTCAATTCTCAGAAGGCAAAAGGAGCAAAGGTCAAAGTCACCTGTCTATCATCTACATCAGGAGTCTTCAAACGTGGCCCTTTTATGACTTGTGGACTTCAGCTCCCAGAATTCCTCAGCCAGCATGCCTGGCTGAGGAATTCTGGGAGTTGAAGTCCACAAGTCCTAAAGGGGGCCATAGTTCCCCATGCTGGCTCAGAAATTCTGGGAGTTGAAGTCCACAAGTCATAAAAGAACCAAGGTTCCCCACCCCTGGCCTAATTCAATACTTGTTGACAAGTTTACATCCTTTTTGAAACTGTGAGATTGAAGAGAAGTTTCTTCACTTTGTTATTTCTCAATCATTTAAAAAAAACAACAACAACAACACTCAGCTAGGGCAGAGCTGCACTAAAGGGAAGCTTGGAAGAGGTTAACCACCAAAGGTTAACTACTGCAGAACCGCTATAACTATGCCATAATGATTCAAATTCTAAGCCGACAAGGTGTCTTGAATAGACCACACTCCTTAAATACTGCAGAGTGTTTATTCCCAGCAAGTTTAACATTTTTCATTCCTCTTTTGAAAGACAGAATGTTCCTAGTGTCAAAAGCACCTTTTCTTATAGCAGTCATCCTAATATATTATATTCTTTAAATCAAAAAGAATATAATCACATGAAGTATTAGTACCGCTTTATAAATCCTTAGTAAGGCCACACCTGGAATACTGCATCTAGTTTGGGTCGCCACATTACAAAAAAGATGTTGAGATTTTGGAAAAAGCGCAGAAAAAAATCAACTAATACGATCAAAGGCCTGGAGACAAAAACATATGAAGAACGGTTGCAGAACTTGGATATGGCCAGTTTACAGAAAGGAAGGACTAGGGGGGACATGATGGCAGTATTCCAGTATTTGAGGGGCTGCCACAAAGAAGAGGTGGTCAACTTATTCTCCAAAGCACCAGAAGACGAAACAAGAAACAATGGATGGAAGCTAATTAAGGGGAGAAGCAACCTGGAATTAAGGAGAAACTTCCTAACAGTGAGACCAGTTAATCAGTGGAACAGCTTGCCTCCAGAAGTTGTGGATGCTCCATCACTGGAGGTTTTGAAGAAGAGACTGGACAGCCCTCTATCTGAAATGGTATAGGATCTCCTGCTTGAGCAAGGGGGCTGGACTAGAAGACCTCCAAAGTCCCTTCCAGCTCTATTCTGATTGATTGATTAACCAGTGGAACTGCTTATATATTATTATTATTATTATTATTATTATTAATAATAATAATAGTAATAATAATAATAAAGTTGGAAGGGACCTTGGAGGTCATCTAGTCAAACCCCCTGCTCAGGAAGGAAACTCTATACCATTTCAGACAAATGGCTGTCCAGTCTCTTCTAAAAAACTTCCAGTGTTGGAGCATTCACCGCTTCTGGAGGCAGGTTGTTCCACTGGTTAATTGTTCTGTCAGGAAATTTCTCCTTGGTTCTAGGTTGCTTCTCTCATTGATGAGTTTCCATCCGTTGCTTCTTATCCTGCCATCAGGTGCTTTGGAGAATAGCTTGACTCCCTCTTCTTTGGGGAAGCCCCTGAGATATTGGAACGCTGCTATCATGTCCCCCCTCGTCCTTCTCTTCATTAAACTAGACATACCCAATTCCAGCAGCCGTTCCTTATATGCTTTAGCCTCCAGTCCCCTAATCATCTTTGTTGCTCTTCTCTATGCTCTTTCTAGAGTCTCAGCATCTTTTTTACATCGTGGTGACCAAAACTGGATGCAGTATTCCAAGGCCTTGTAAAGTGGTATTAATACTTTGCGTGATCTTGATTCTATCCCCCTGTTAATGCAGCCTAGTACTGTGTTGGCCTTTTTGGCAGCTGCAACACATGGCTGGCTCATATTTAAGGGATTGTCCACTAGGATTCCGAGGTCCCTCTCACAGTTACTATTATTGAGCAAGGTACCCCCTATACTATACCTGTACATTTGGTTTTTCTTGCCTAAATGTAGAACCTTACCTGCTTATCTTCAGAGGTTGTGGGTGCTCCATCACTGGAGGTTTTGAAGAAAAGACTGGACAGCCCTCTATCTGAGATGGTATAGGATCTCCTGCTTGAGCAAGGGGGCTGGACTAGAAGACCTCCAAGGTCCCTTCCAGCTCCACCCAAATGGCGAAAATTTATGCAAACCACGATATTGCTTACCTTTTTCTAAAAGCATGTGCAAAGCTTTACATCCGTATCTCTGGATCTTTTCATTATCAGGAAAGGTATCCATGGCGTCAAATATCAATAAAAATATGTCGGTCCCTTCTTCTAAGAGAAGAAGTGTGATTTCATCTAAAACAAAAAAATGCAAGAAAAACTCTGCCGATCATTTGCTCACAAATGTTCTTTTCGTTTTGCTTCCGTCAAAACAATTCCATCCAATTCTACTCAAAAATAAATCTCCCTGAAGGAAAAGGTGTTACTTGCAGAAAAGTACAGGCAGTCGTTGATTTGCGGCCACAATTTTCACTGCTAAGCGAGACGGTTACTAAGTGAGTTTGGCCCCGTCTTACGACCTCTCTCTTGCCGCAGTTGTTAAGTGAACCACTGCAGTTAATAATATGGTTGTAAAGTGAATCGGGCTCTCCCATTGACTTTGCTTATCAGAAGCTCGCCAGAGGTGATCGCAGGACTCAAGTCGTAACTATGAGTTAGTTGCCAAGTTGCCGAATTTTTGATCACATGACCATAGGGATGCTTCAAAGCAGGAGTCTTCAAACTTGGCCCTTTTATGACTCGTGGACTTCAACTCCCAGAATTCCTCAGCCAGGCACGTGAGGGGAAAGGGAGAGGTTTCCAAGCTGAGCCATGCTGGCTGAGGAAATCTGGGAGTTGAAGTCCACGAATCATAAAAGGGCCAAGTTTGAAAACCTTTGGTCTATTCTATCTATCTATCTATCTATCTGTCTGTCCGTCCGTCCGTCCGTCCGTCTGTCTATCTATCTATCATCTTTCTCTCTCATCCATCTATCTCAGGGGTAGGCAACCTTGGCTCTTTTATGACTCGTGGACTTCAACTCCCAGAATTCCTTATCCAGCCATGCTGAGGGGAAAGGGAGAGGTTTCCAAGCTGAGACATGCTGGCTGAGGAATTCTGGGAGTTGAAGTCCACGAGTCATAAAAGGGCCAAGTTTGAAGGCCCCTCCCAGAATTCCTCAGCCAGGCACACTGGCTGAGGAATTCTGAGAGTTGAAGTCCACAAGTCATAAAAGTGCCAAGTTTGAAAACCTTTAATCTATCTATCTATCTATCTATCTATCTATCTATCTATCTATCTATCTATCTATCTATCTATCTATCTATCTATCTATCTATCTATCTATCTATCTACCTACCTACCTACCTACCTACCTACCTACCTACCTACCTACCTACCTATCATCTATCTATCTATCTATCATCTTTCTCTCTCATCCATCTATCTCAGGGGTAGGCAACCTTGGCTCTTTTATGACTTGTGGACTTCAACTCCCAGAATTCCTGAGCCAGCATGTCTGGGAGTTGAAGTCATAAGTCATAAAAGAGCCAAGGTTGCCTACCCCTGATCTATCTATTCTATCTCTCTATATCTCTATCTAGTCTATTTATCTCTACCATCTATCATCTATCTATATCTATCATCTATCACAAGGGTCTTCAAACTTGGCCCTTTTATGACTTGTGGACTTCAACTCCCAGGATTCCTCAGCCAGGCACACTGACTGAGGAATTCTGGGAGTTGAAGTCCATAAGTCATAAAAGGGCCAAGTTTGAAGACCCCTGCTTCAAAAGCTATAAATGTGACAAATGCTCATAAGTCCCTTTTTTCAGTGTCGTTGTAACTTCGAACAGTCACTAAACGAAAGGTTGTAAATTGAGGACTGCCCATATACGTAAGATGGGTAAATGACGTTATTCCTGTAGGTTCTATTTAGAAATCCTCCACTTACAAAGATTCATTTAGTGATCGTCCAAAGTTACAACATCAATGAAAAAAGCGACTTATGACCGTTTTTCACACTTACGACCGTTGCAGCATCCCTGTGGTCACGGGATCAAAATCCAGACGCTTGGCAACCAGTTCATATTTATGACGGTTGCCATGTCCCTTTTGCGACCTTCTGACAAGCAAAGTCAACGGAGGAAGCTAGACTCACATCACAACCGGGTTACTAATTTAACAACTGCGACGATTCACTTAACAACGGTGTCAAGGAAGGTCGTAAAATGGAGCAAAACTCACTTAACAAGCGTCTCGCTTACCAACAGAAACTTTGGGTTCCATTGTGGTTGTAAGTCAACAACTACATGTAGAATTCAGCCTCACTCAGTAGCCAATAAGGATATTTCTATGTATAGGATTCCTACGGCTACTGTACCAAGCCAACTACTGTATTATGCACTCCCTAATTTCCTGTGATAAGGACAGAAGGGAAATGGGAAAACACAGGAAGATTAAAAGGTGAAGATAAGAGCAACAGGAAACGCATGACTCACACCGGTGATTCACCCGGCAGAGTGGAAATCCCATCTGTGAACTCATGTGATTTTGGAGAAATAAAACATCTCTGTGTCTTAACCAAATTCCTCTTTAGCTTTCGTTATTAAACCACCATTGTTGATAACAAAATGACTGGAAACCTAAAGGGTGTAACTAATATTTTACATGTTTTTGGTATGTCTGTATACAGGTAAGCCCTCGACCTTGGACCAGAATTGAGCCCCCAAATTTCTGTGGCTAAGTGAAACATTTGTTCCGTGAGTTTTGCCCCATTTTACGACCTTTCTTGTTAAATGAATCATTGCAATTGTTAAATGAATCATTTGTTAAATGATTGTTGTTAAATGAATCACAGTTGTTAAATGAATCATTGCACAGTTGTTAAATGAATCATTGCAGTTATTAAGTTAGGGACACGGTTGTTAAGTGAATCTGGCTTCCCCACTGACTTTGGTTGTCAGGAGGTCGCAAAAGGGGATCACGTGACCCCGGCACACTGCGACCGTCATAAATACGAGTCAGTTGCCAAGCGTCCAAATTTTGATTACGTGACCCCGGGGCACTGCAACCGTCGTAAATATGAGTCAGTTGCCAAGTGTCTGAATTTTGGTCACGTGAGAAATATGTTTCCAACTCTCTCCGCCCTTTTGCTTCTCCATCATTTCTTCACTAGAGGAAAAAAAAACCTTGCAACCAGGGATCAACCTAGAAAAGGATGCAGCTACTTTAATGAGTCACACATAGGTTATATGTCGGAATCCCTCTAACCATCTAGCCTAAAGTACATTTACCCATGTTGTATGGCTGTATCATCATTATCATCATCATCATCATCGTCATTATTATTATTACCTTCTTTACTGCTCCCTCTTATTAGGATTATGATTATGATTATCATTACTCTGTTGCTTTTCATGTACACTGAGAGCTTCTGCACCGGAGACAAATTCCTTGTGTATCTAATCACACTTGGACAAATAAAGTATTCTACTCTACTCTACTCTACTCTACTCCACTCTCCACTCCACTCCACTCTACTCTATCATTCTATTCTATTCTATTCTATTCTATTCTACGCTACTCTACGCTACGCTACGCTACGCTACGCTACTCTACTCTACTCTACTCTACTCTACTCTACTCCACTCCACTCCACTCCACTCCACTCTATCATTCTATTCTATTCTATTCTATTCTATTCTATTCTATTCTATTCTATTCTATTCTATTCTATTCTACTCCACTCCTCTATCATTCTATTCTATTCTATTCTATTCTATTCTATTCTATTCTATTCTATTCTACTCTACTCTACTCTACTCTACTCTACTCTGTTCTTCATTATTCTATTCTATTCTATTCTATTCTATTCTATTCTATTCTATTCTATTCTATTCTATTCTATTCTATTCTGTTCTTCTGTTTTGTTCTACTCTTCTGTGCATTCTATTCTATTCTATACTGCATTCTGCATTCTACTCTACTATACTCTACTGGAATCCGTAGGGGACAAAGAGATAATCCGGGGTGATGATGTTACCTGGCTTAGTAATGAAATATCTGCAAGAAAGCCACTAAGTCAGAGAGCACCAAGGACCCAACAAAATTCTATCTATGTGGTTTCTAAGAGTCAACAGGAGTAGCATTTAATCAATCATGTACAAATTAAAAAGAAAAATCTTTCCCCCCATCATTTCATATGCAAGAGTTCGAAGAACAATAAATACGCTGAGAATAATGAAGGTCTGAGACCACTAACAATCTCATGTGCCTATAACATTTTAAGAAAAATATGTACCTGAAGAAAGAAGCAGATTTAATGTTTTCAAGCCCACCGTTGAAAGATCCACATTAGCACTGTGGGTTTTAAGCATCTTAAGAATTTGCCTAAGGTAAAAAGAAGGGGGGGGATTTTAATTGCAGTCCAAAATATATTAGCCACAAGAAGGAGGAGGAGGAGGAGGAGGAGGAGAAGGAGAAGGAGAAGGAGAAGGAGAAGGAGAAGGAGGAGAAGAAGAAGAAGAAGAAGAA